CGTGTGGCGGACAAACAACTGGTCAAGAAAAGACACATGAAATAAAGTTGAACGCAAACCAACCTTTATGACTGAGTGGAATGTTGAACGGTTTATTTGTGGGGTGTCTAAGTTCAGGGAGGTTCCTATAGATTCCATCACCGCACAGTGTTAAAGATTTAGGTTCTCCGGGACCGGGGCTCTGCCTTCACAGACCTGGCCCTGGCCCTACCCCCAGAAGGTGTTTCGCCCTCAGCCTCAACCTTCTCCCTTTCACGACGCTCCTTGTTCCACTTCGACTTGATGTGGCTGATCATCGGCCTCAAGCAAAAGATAATTGAACTATTTGCTTGCATGACAAAACCTTCTCACTCACAAATCTTCAGACATGTAAAATGTGTCAAAGCTTGGTAGTGCCAAACAAACATCACAGCTGGAATTCACCAAAAATCTCCAAGCTCCCAGCTGTGTCCGCGTGACAAGGTTCAGCGCCTGGGCACACCTTGAATCGGGCAGCAGATGTATGTTGCCAACAAGGCTGGTCCAAACCAAAGTGACAACAAATAAACTTGAAGCAACCATGTTTTAACCCTTGCGTTCATTGTATCCAACGAACTACTTACGAATTATAGCTAGTGTCAACCAACTTTCTTTAGTTGGTCAGCGCGGCCACCTACAACATAAACAAAAAAAGGGGGGTCTGGACTTCTCCTTCTGTTCAGTGCCCCTTCACCACCCGTGTTGGGTGCGTTTCTGCAACCCGTGCAGTCGTTGAACAAAGCAATAAGACTGGCTTCTAGCATATGCACTATGCTCAGGTCATTACTTTTGAAGATGACCCACATCATTGTAAAGTTGACCTTCAAATACTGCTCGAAACGTTGTGCCGGATTTCCAGTGACACCGATTTTGAACACAGCAACATTGATGCCAAGGTATTCTCTGAACGCAGTAACCTTTTGCCTTGAGTGTGCAAGTATTTTGCCGCATGTTGTGAACGGAGTGAGGTTGCTTGGGATGTGCTTGTAGATCAAACAGCGCTGCAACTCTTCCCACGGTGGGTCCACAAAAGAAGCATGGGCAAGATCATGTAGAAGCGCAAGTACTGCTTTACGCTGGCTATCCTTGTGCCAATTTGAGTTTGAGCAGAAATAGAGGGCCAAACAAATGAACCTGGGGTTAGCTGTCAAAACGTTTCTGCGCTGCAGACACGCTTCATCCAGTTGCACAAGATCATGGATTTCTCTATGGTGCACAGTGGGCAGAGAAGGAGATTTGCTGGGCCGACGTGTCCTTGCATAGTGCGGGGTGTTGAGTAAAAAGGGTTTTGAGTAAAAGGGCATACTTGAGTACAAGCAAGTCCAAATAAAAACTTGGTTCATTAGTTTAGCAGCTTCTCGGGATAACTTTCTGCTTGCAAGGATGCTTGTGCTGCACACCGTTTGTGTCCAGTATAGGGATCTGTGTAGGTGAGAAGTTCTATCAAGAAATCATCATCGTCACCATCATCCATTGCGCAAGGAAGCTAGCACACTGTTTCTGAATCGGCACTCCAGGGCACCAGTATAGTGTCTTTATTCCATGAAGAGTTCATGTGATATGCCACACAAAGTTGCATCAGCTTTGCGGATACCCTGCAATTAAGGTTTGTACTCAGACCCACTGTATGATCAGACCCACTGTTTGATCCACACATGGCAATGGAACCAAGATTGGCAAAGACGGAGAGCTAGCACTACATCCATGTGCAGGACAAGGCACTGCTTGCGAGCGTCTTTATAGAGTAATTTCAACCGATCCTGGTGCCTGAGCTAAACGATCAGAGGGCATGTGTGTGTGCGCACGCAGGTCATGTCAAAACCCAGGTGCTCTCGTGTGTAGCCATCCTCAACAATGCCTTCCGTGTTCACAGTGTTGATGCTGTCAGTGATCGAGTTGATTTTCTGTATAAGGTCGTCAGCATGGTTCAAGATCCTAGGTTGATGGAGTGACCCAGAAATCATTAGGGTTCTATCTATATTCTATATCAATCTATTAAAAGCTGCAAAACCTATACTGCATATGGCAAGAAATGGGTTTAATATTTAGATGAGAATCTGGGTGCTGGTGGTAGACTCAGCGAGAGATCTAAAGAATTCCACCACATTTGAGATTTTGCAAGTCCATTTGCTTAATGATGTCAACACCCGGGTGATAAATGTCGATGGCAACGCATCAGGATCGTCCATAGCCGGAAACATCATGGCCTTCAAGACCTTTTGCTGGTCATCAACACCCCCAGAGGCAACAACTTCCGCTGCGTCTGACAGGGGTACAAGAAACAAAGGGAGGTGTTTGCATGTTTGTTTTACAATGCTGTGGGTGTGTGACAAGAAGTGAAGGTTTCACACCTGTCACAACCTCTGGAAGCGCCATCTCAGCGGGCATCATTTGGTCAAGGTCCCTTGCCACATCAGATGGGTCCACATCTTCCTCATCCATGAGGGTTGTACGTTTCCTCTTCCTTGGGCCCACAAATAGGTGAGGTATCAATCTGAAAAGAGAACGCTTCAGATTGAAGCTACACCCAAATTGCAAACAAACGTCAAACGACGCCCCGCCATTTGCTCCTCAACCCAGTAGACGTTGACATGTTTTTCATAGCGGTCTTTCCTGAGGCAATCACCCACAGAGGACTGCAAAATGCAAATGAAAAAGACTTGTGGTAAGAAGGATCTCTCAACTGCACCAAAGTTACTGGATCCAATTTGCGTGTTTCTGGCACTCAGCTTTGATGGCAGCAATACGGCCCCTTAGCCACTGCCACAACAAAAGAACACTTCACAATCATTATGCACATCATTGACTAAAAGTTTGTTGTGCACTTGTGCAGGTCTTTGGTTGCCAAAGGACGGTTCAAAGCCCTCCTCAACCATGTTTTTCTCCGACATGAACTTTCCATCGACCCACAAATCCGACTCTTGCACGCTCTCCACGCGTTTTTTGGCCGTGGCCTTAAAGGCTTCCTGCAAGCACAAAAGAAGCTCTCGGAGAAGGACTGGGCTCAGGGGGAGTGGGGAAGGTTTGCAAGTTGGTCAAGTCATTGAGCAGTTCAAGCTTCTGACACAGCAGTCCTTGTCTCCACCCACTTGATTCCAAAGTTGTTTGATTTGGTCCCTCCCACCACCGTCGGATTGGTCTTTCCACATTTCAACAAATTGACTTGGGACTAAATAGGATCCATCTTCCCGCGGTGCCATCAATCGACGCAATTTCTTCATATCGTTGTCACTGACCTCAACAGCTATCCCAATCAGATATGTGAAGCAACAGTTAAGGCCGCTCCCCTAGTGTTGACAAATTGTAATGAGCTAAGAAGCTGTGCTGCTGAGCTTGTCAAGATTCCGCACGTTCTCCGCATTCTTGAAAAGAGAATCCTAATGCTGCGGAAGTGATCGGGACAGCATGAAAACAACCTCCAGAAATAAAAGGTGTGGTCTTCTAATGTGTCTAAGTAACGATGTGTTCCAGCATAGCGTCTTTATCCGAGTCCACATGCTCCGGCAATTCGCCGGACGCCTCATATCAACATATATACCACTGCACCACACCCTTTGAAAGAAAACAATAAGTCAAGTATATACTTGTTGTGACGGAAGAGATGTGCCTCCCAACTTTCAAAGAACCCATATGGGTCGGCATCGACGGCATCGAAGACAGCGGCAACTGAGTCCGAAGGTTCCACATAAGGATCTACATAAGGATCGAAGACAGGCGGATCCTCACTGGCATCCACAGAAGGATCCATTGCCCCAGACAGGGCCACAAAGTAGTCTTCCTGCAGTTCACACAAGCATGCACTGACCTGCAAAAAACCCTGGGTGCACATGCATACAAATTAACGCTGATAAAATTCCATATTTTGTGTGAGGTTCAAATTGTTCACATCCGGACGTTACACCACTGACACGGCCCTCATGGGTCTTGTCATCCTCTCCACCTGCAACAAGAGGCCGAGAAGACTGAGGCTCCTTGGCCGTTGGCAGGGAACATGTTGGAAGGGAGCTGCAGGGCTTACATTTCAGCCCTGTACCTAGTCAAAACCCAACCATGCATACAGGTGTCTTCTTTGGGAAGATGGGTGTCATCTTCTCGACACAAGCTGCGGACAGGAGTAGCCACTGGAACAATCGCAGCAGGATCCGCCTTCTGCTTTTGGATCTCCTGTCCCAAAACGAATAAGAATTATCAAATACACATGGGAATACAATACATTTCTTATGCAACGTGACAAAGTCATAAAGATGGTATCCTCCAAATGTGCCAGCTCCTCTTCAATCTCTGCATTGGTGCGCATATCCGGAGTTTCCATACCTACTCCCTGCTCTGCCAGGGAAATCCCAAGATCTAAAGTCTCGGCAGACCAGACCCTGGAGGGAAGATCCATCTCAAACACCAAGCCCTTGAGAGCAAGACTGTGCAGCAAACAGTTTGTATACATGTCCATCACTGACCTCATATGAGTGGCCTACTCCCAGAGTCCCACACATTGATTGAAACACTTCCTACAAACAGTCACCGGGGAAATCCGCCCCTAGACCGGGGAAATCCGCCCCTAGACCGGGGAAATCCGCCCCTGAGATTTTTGACTTTTGGTTGTTTCTAAATGGTTGCCCTCATATGAGTACACTGCATGAAACATGAGTAGATCTCCCACTCATATGAGATTGTTGGATCACACTATGGTAATTAACATGATACTCATATGCGCTATGACATTTACAAAACAAAACATCACCTCATGTGAGGTCTGCATAAAAGATTGTGCTAATAGTATACGCATGCAATTGGCCCGCAACTGCCCTTCAATACCTGCAGATTAACCAATTCAGTCCATCCGCCCATTTCCCAGCTCCCAGCTTCACCACCAATCCCAGGAAGAGGAGCTTTCCCCTCATCAGCCGATGGTCCAAACAGCCACTTTGACCGCACTTGTGTCAGTGAGTGGATCCCAGCCTATTCAATATCGCTTAGCCCAGCATTTAGAACTCCTGGGGTGGAATAGTGGTGGGTAAAACAGCTCTCCAACCCTCAGGGATGGATAGCCTTCTCGATCCCCTAGCATATCGAATTACATCTCTCAAGTCCGCCTCTTCGTCCCAACGTTTGGACTCATCGCACCAGGGCATGTTCTCGAAGAGCGTGAGAAGACTTTCAGAAGATACCTTGGAAGGGTGGGATGTTTGTGCAAGACCCACCTCATGCTTCAGTCACAACTCATACACCATTCTTTTTGTTTTGACCTTTCTATAGCATCAGGAATTGTAAGGGAAGTGCTCACCCAACACAATCATCTCATGCAAGAATTAAAGAGGCGAATACAGTGGTGAACTTATTATGAGCCACGCTACCTGTGTAGAAAGCTCTGGAGCCCGTGCAGCGGAGCGTGCCTCAGGGATCACAGACACAACCTTTGCCGCGAACTTGTACGTGTAGTGCCTTGGCACATGGGTTGGGAGACGGAAGAGAAACCAACACGGAGGTGAGCCACCTGAGGCTCCAGAATTGTATTGTTCTTGCAACCGGTAAAACATGAAATATATAAAAAGCTTCAAAGTTGATGCAAGATACTGACTTTTCTTGAGGGACTTGTTTCCCTTGAACCTTTTCGCTCCACTGCCATCCCGGTAACGGGTAGTCAACGTTTCGCTATTAGATCGTTCTTCTGGTGTCATGGGCCCCAAATCTAAAGCTTGAATCACCCTGCTAGAAGACCATACCCACGTTCTCTTCCAGGAAAGCGATGCATACTTTCTCATCCAAAAGGCCACTTTGTACGTCTCAGATGCAGCAATGGCACAGAAAAGACAAGTTTATCTCAGTTCAACAAAATGTGGTGGAACGACTGGTGGAATGTCAAAAAGGGTCAAAAAGGTATATATCATCCATCAGCCATGAAACTGGTATATCCAATTGCAGCAGCAGTTCCACAAGCCAAATGTAGCGGGGGTGCATGGCCACTAAGCTGTTCATTGGCTGCTCCATAAAAAATACACCTCCGGAAACCACCGCAATTAGCATCAGAATCACTGTCCTCCAGGGAAGGTGAGGGAGATGAGGTGGTTGTGAGCAGGGTCGCATCATAACATAACCTATGAACACCCTGGACAAAGTCATTGGAAGGACCCAACTCCTGGAAGTCATTTTGTTGCTGCGACGAACCGCTGGATAGTCTTCATTGCCTAGTGGAGTCAGGATGTCCCTCATAGTAGATCCACGGTTCACCGGCACCCATGAGGAGCACACGATTGCAAAAAATGCAGCCGGGTTTTCGCTGCACAGAAGTAGGCGAATGCATAACCTGGGCGGCCGCGGGCAGTGATTCAAGATAACTTTATGTCAGAAGACAACCGGTTAGCACACTGCACATGTAAAGAGAAAATTGTTCATAGTCAATCATTTACTTGCCTGGCCACAATAGCCCTGCATCACTGTTTATGTCCATAGGTGGTCTTGACCCCCTCTTTGAAGCTGAAGCTTTCCCATATTCAATGTCCACAGCAGCACTTTTGAGTCCAATGAATTTTGAAACCCTAGCAATCCGCCCAACCCCTGCGTAAAATTCCAGGACATCATAGGGCTGGGCAGGCTTCTGAAAGTCTTGCCACCAAGTGAGCAGCACCAAAAGCACCACCACCTCAGACATTATACACATGGAAAGGGGGTTGGGACATGTTAGGAAGATAACATGGATGATCTTTGCACCTCGTTCAATTAAGCCACGCCGTGTTCTTCCTTTGGACAAGGCTTGAACCACATAAGGGGCTCCAACAATTGTCAATGATCATCCAAGCCAAGGCACCTTTGGAACTCGTATGGCAATGAGCTTGCGGATGAAGCAGTCAAATTGCTCTGGAGACATGGCCGCTAGACTCCAGGTCGAGGAGTCGGATAAGATAAATAAATAGGGTTCATGTTTAAACATGTTTATAAACTAGTATTTCTATAATATACTTGTGCACACTCTTGAACTGACAAGGTCGATTGAAATGATACAGATTGAACAGCTGCAGATTTACCATCAACCTCAGCCAAAAGACTTTTTAAATGGTGCTTGAATCTGCCAGGCATCAAGCAACAGATCGAGTGTGCTATGTATCAAACATCCAATTTAAAGTATACTTTACATGCATATCAATTAAAGATCAAATTCAATTTGAATATGGCTTGGCATCGGAAAAATGCCAGGCACACGTGCTTGTGGACCGATCCCAAACTTGGCCAGATTGATGCCTCCTCGCAACCGGAACTCTGCCATAGGTTCACCTGGCAGAACGGGCAACGGAAGTGACGGAACGCATGCATATATATAACTAAGAAGAGCCAACCATGGCCACTGAATTCTATTGAAGTACTTTCTATCCGTAGGTCAGGATCAAGAGATTCAATTACTATATCGCTACTGTTTTGAGTCCTTGGGGGTAACAGAAGGAGCTCACACGCAGACCTGTTCCACTGTCCCCCTTCAATCTTTCTGATGTCCTGGCAAACACGTGACAATCAAATGGAACACACTTTCACCCCAGGCAAGAACCTCCAGTGAGCAAGCGATGTGAGGCTCACAATCTATAGCCTTGCCACGACCCAGCTAACAAACGAATTTGTTGTCAACAGGGCTTGTTGGTATCTCAACATGCCCCGCACATGAAAGGTTAGAGGTGCCCTTGAATTGCATCAAGTGGCCAAGTACAGCACAAAAAGCTGTGTTTCCTAGAATGGCGGCAATTTGGTTGCCAACATGCCTCGAGATCTTTTCAATTGATGGAGCCAAGGCCGAGCCCGCAACACAACACCATGTCGTGGTGAATCTGACGTGCGTTGTTGTGAAGATGGGTTGAACTTTCTGGAATTCAACAATATTATATGGTAAGATGGAGCACCGTGTCACATAGATCTCTTGGAAAAGACATGAAGGAACCTACTGCACCATGAGCATGGTCTCATCTAAGAAGCGCTTCATCTCCACCGTTACTGCTCTTGTCAGAACGGTCAAGCATTCCTCAGATGAACTTCGGCGGCTAAGCTGCTGAATCTCCTCGTGCGTCTGCAAAGCATCAGAACACCAATCCCACCATTCCACCTGAATGGAAACTGCACATTGCATGAATCTATGTTCCTTCACAACCTGTTTTGAACACAGCACACCCAACACTGGAATCTAACCTTGATTTAACAGAGTAAAACCCAGATGTGGTTGCAAACACCATCAGGGTGAATCTTTTTGACGTCAGAGCCTCCATGGCATGTGATGAAAAGCCAATGTCAGTGACATAGGACTTGAGCTGCTTGTTGAAGATCTCTCGAACAGCCAACCACCGCTCACGAGCAGGGGATGTCTTTGGGCAAAACCGGCGAGCAAAGGTCTTGGCATCCTGCCCATCCTGGTCCTTCTTGGATTTCTTTTGAGCAGGCCCATCCTTTGAAGGCTGCTCTGGACTGGCATCCACCTCACCAAGCTCAGAAGCAGGTTGGTCCTGCACAGGGATCCATTGCATGTTCCTTGCAACCAATATGGCACCAACCTTTGAAACAGGGGACCAAACAACACATTGGCTCTGTTCAATCTCCTCGGCGTTCACAGCATCTTCAGCTTCAGCATTTTGCTTTGGCGCTCGGGCCTTCCTCTTGGATTCTGCTTTCTTGGCAGGTTCCTTCTTCCGCTTGTTCAACTTGGAACCATTCTCAAGCCTTGATCCCTCGCCTTCCCCATCCACATGGCTGGAAGCAGCCGCCGCACTCTGGCTGGAAGAAGCGGTTGCACTCGGAGGGGCAGGAGTTGGTTCCAAGACGTCGTCGATGGTGATCCACTTCAAATTGACCCCTTTAGAACCTGCCTTTGCCTTTGCCTTTGGCTTGGGCTCATCCTTGGGCTTTGGAGTTGCAGGCTTTCTTCCTCTTGGTTTTGAAGGTGGCTTCAATCCCCACTGATCTCGCCTTGTCACAACTGGTGGCTCATCCTCATCCTCTGGAATGACTTCCACATCATCCTTCAAAGCAGCAGCTGGTGCAGCTGCAGACACATGGGTCTCCGCAAAAGCCTCAGGGGACTCCACATTGACCTTGCCAACTGGGTCTGAAGGTTCAGCTTCTGCAGGCTCAGGTTCAGCTTGCATAGGATGCTCTTCCTCAGGTTTGGCATGCATAGGCTGACCTTCTTCAGGTTCTGGAGGCTTTGCGTCATTTGCAGGCTCCCTTACCGGAACTGTTTGCAGGACATCCGATGCTGAATCTCCACCTGCTTCATGCATATCGGAAGGCCCAGCTGCTGCGGGTTGCTCTGAAGGTTCATCATGACCACCCGGACCTTTGCATTCCAAGGCTGGGGCAGTGTGAGCCTCATTGGATTCACACATGGGGCTGGAGCACTCTGACCTCAATCCCAACTGATTGTCTGGAACCTCCTCCATTGGCTCATCATCAGCATTGGGGCATTCCCCATAAGGATCTTCAGTGATCATGGATGAAAACTGTCTTTGCAAAGAGCGCTTGAGGCCGTCATCATTGTTGTCCATCAGCCCCTTGTTCTCCTCAAAGGTTGCAACCTTGGGCTCCGGAACAGCAGCCAATGCAGAAGCAACGGCCGTGGCCAGCCCCTCACCGAGTGGCTGCGTCTCAGCAGTGTCTGGCACGCACGAAGAAGCAGCCCTTTTGGCCAGCTCCAACCTAAGTATTGGGCAGGCTCAAGGGAAGACCCCTGAAGTGGATGTCAAATCATCAGTCTTTGGAGATTCAAAGTTTATTTTAATCACATCACATCGATCACCTCAAACAAAAAACGTTTCGATAACCAAATATATAAATCAATTATGTTGTGCGTTCGAATAACCAATACTGCCAGGGCAGCAGGTGTGTACTCTGGCCAGGGGACTTGAGTTTGGCAATCCGGGCTCCAACACTCTCGTCATCAGTAGGCAAGCCAGTGCTGATGACTCTTGGCTGGCTCTCATCCACTGTGGTTTTAGCGCCACTGGGTTGTTCCGCTTTCACTTTGGTTGGTGTAGGGTCCTCGACAAACACGACTTCAGTGTGCTTTTCATTGCCCTCAAACTTCACCATACCCGTAGTGGTTGTAGAAGGTTGCCCTGTTGTGGCCTTGACCGCCTTGTTGTCTACAAGGTATGGATCATCTTTGACAACGATGAACTCAGAGAAATCAGTAGATTCATCATCGCTGCCCTCCACTTCAACCACAATGGTCTTGACGCCTTGTTGAAGACGCACATTCCAATGCACGAACAACTCATCGAAGAAAGGGTTGGTACCAACTTCCTTGGGTTGCTTCACATTGCACTGGTGCCAACAAATGAATGAAGGGTTGATGCAATTGAAAGGACTATAATATGTGCACTAAAGATCACAAAGGATTTGCAGTTCGAATTATGGTTTCTCAACAAGACTGAATCCTGAAACATGAGGCTAGAGCTATCGGCTATCTTTACTACTACAACTTTGCTGCAAACTGAGGATTACATGTTTGCTGAGATTCTCGACGCAAAGGACTTCCTGAGGCCAGCTTGTCGGAGCCTGACTTGCGCACACCATATGTGAAGAGCTTCTTGAGCCCCCATGCATCAGAATGAAGGGCAACGAGATCTGTGGGAAGTTGGCACATTCCTCGAAGATGATTGACCTTTCAGGGGAAAGCACCGGACAGGAATAACAATATTGCAATGGCTGATAAACCAAGGGGACCTGGTGTTGTATGGTGTTGTAGCCTTTTCTTGAGAAATACCTCATATAGACAACTCAACAATGAAACACATTTTGTTCATGTGGATGCCTCCTTTTTCAAGTCCAAGACAGATGGGGATTTTGGAGTCCCTTGCCGGCGGCACCACCACCGTGCCAAGTGGGTCAACGCACAACTGTTCATTGCAATGGCCGCCATACTTGGTTTGTTGATGAGTTGTGGAGAAACCCACTGCACTAGTTTGCCATCATTGTGCCGGATACGATCGCGAATCACACGGTCATCTTCCCATGCTTCAGCCAACAACCCAACCGGCGGTAGGCTTCCTTTCCTCCCCGAAGCGACTTCGCTGCCATCGTCGGCCAGGTTGGAGTGAGCCAGCGCCATTCACTGAGGGCTTGCAAGGGAACCAGGATGGAGCCACTCCCAAAATAAAACAGGCTTGAGCAAAGCATTGTGATGCGAGTTAATGAAAAATGATGCCAAGCTTTAGTTTTGCAACATCTCATTTCAGAAGACAATATAAACGATTATAAAAGTAGTCGATCAGATAGGTCCAAACAGCGCTTTGTATAATCAATGCATTTGCAAATCAACAAATTGGATGAAGTCATGTCCCAAAGTAGCATGCGGTCCCAGACAACAAAGAAACAGGGCAGGAGCACCTGATCCATTGTGCAGTCAGGGAAAAAAATCGACATGGCAGCAAGTGGTGAAGAAACTCATGGATCTATACAGTGGAAAGCTTTGCAGTGGATATTCCAAACACTTCCAAACCCATAATCAGCCCAGCCATTCCAGGGCAGATTGCTTGTTTAATCCCCAAATATCATGTGCCTCCTTTCTGTTTGGGGCAGTGTTCCAAGCTCCTATCCTGAGCCCATTTGTGAATGTCATCCAACTCCTGGAAATAGCTGCGCCCAACCTTCGGAGTAAAGGCCGGAGCAGCGAAACCA